TATCAACGTTAGATTTGAGGGCTTTTTACTTATTCTCCTAGAGCTTGAGGTAGGGATTTTCTAAACATTGTGTATGTTATTTAGTTTTTTTATGTGTTGTTTTGATAGTTTACCACTTAATGATGTTAGGGTTTTTATTAAATTACTATATATGTTGAAAAATGGGTGATCTACGTATTTTCCAAAAATATTTTCAATTAATTGATTTTGCTCATAATGTAACTCATGGATTTTGAGGAACTCATTTTTTAAAATAAGAAATCCTAATTTCGAGGAAACCTAGAGTGTTGGAAAATTGAGATGAAGGCTATTTTACTTAATCCTTAAGGGATTGCATCTATTGATAATGCAAAACTAATTTATTATTGAAAGATTGTGTAGATTGGAAGATTGATCAAACCATGACAATTTGGATTTTTGAGAAATTATGAGAAAATGTTCTATGATGTTGATGTTATTAGAAATTATTAATGTTCCTTTCATTATATTGTCCATTTTGGAATATATTGAATAGAGATAATTGTCTTTGGCAACTAGCTGAGGATGTGATGATTATTGTAGAAATTGCATGTGATGTAAATTAGAAAATTTATGAAACTCATGCATTGCATCGAACATTTCACATACTCGTGTTTGAGTCTTTACTTTGAAATTGAGGAAATGCTTTCAAAACCGATTATTGATACGTGTTGAGTTATGGGGTAAATACCTTGGTGAATCCAATAAGGGGTGTAAAATTGAGAATTATGTTGGCTTGAGGTCTATGATGTAAGTCCGAAATATTCGTGGAGTAGGTACCAAGTTCCTTCCAGTTAGGAGCTAGTAAAGTGGCCTCGGTAGTGCCTTGAGGGCCTACTTGCAAATACCTTGCTTAGAGATTACTAGTGTCGTATTTACCACCCTAGATTTGTTAAATGATTATTGAATTGATTTTGATTATTGAAAAGAAGTGCATGGCATGCGAATTTTGAAAGAGAAAAACCTATGTTTTGCCATGGAATAACACTTGCACTACACCTCATGATATCGTTAAGTTTCATGTACTTTATTTATGTTATCTCTGTTGTGCCTTGAGCTCATCCATTGGTGGAAACTATTTTTTAGGTGATGACGGTGTGCCTCCGCCGAGATGATAGGGTTGAGGATCTTGTGCAGCACAATGCTCTATCTTTTCTTTATTTTGTTTTGCAAGCTAAGGACTAAATTGTATGGGTTTTAAGAAACAATATTTGTTGTAACTGGGCAATGTCTTGGAACTTGTAACCATTAGGGCATTATCTTGTATTTGAATTACTTTAATCGCTTTTCTATTACATGCTATAAATTTATGTCGTAGAAATGATAAATGTATAATTGCATGTGACAGACCTACTAATTTTTCTAAAATAGTGCATCAATATATATGAACTATTTGATAATTTTTTTAATATATTGTTTGATAATTTGTTGTATGTTGTTGGTTACTATACTTGTTGGTTGAGCAATCTTTTTTATTGTCATTGAACAATTGAAATAGTCGATTTTCACATTTTTCAATTTGTTTCGTGTTTTCACGTTGTATTGTGAATGCTCACATTGGTATCAGTTTAGTTTTTGGACAAATTACGACAGTAGTCTCTGTACTTTGGTCCTTGTATTATTTTAGTCTCTATAATTTGATTTGGCTCGATTTTGACCTTGAACATGTGATTTTGTTCAATGTGGTCCAATTGGTTATAACTCTAAGCATTTTTTTTGTATAGAAAATATGCACATAAGTGTCTTGTGTCATATTCTTAAGAATAAAATTATAAACTTACCCAACTCAATAAATTAACATTAACCAATTTAGTGATAATTTTTCTTAAAAAGTGCTAACGATATTATCAATTGCACCAAATTGACGTAAAATTTACAACTAAGGGTCAAAATCGAGTAAACTAAAATTGTAAGGACCAAAATAACATGAAGAGTAAAATATAGAGACCACCGGTGTAATTTGCCCTAATTTTTTTTAAGGCCAATTAAATGTTAACTGTAAACTGTTAAAATTCGCATTGTATTTTGGTATAAATTTTATTTTTTTGAAGATTAGTTGTATGTTTGTTATTTTCGTTACAATACTTGTTGGTTGAACAATAATTTTTATTACCATTGAACAATCGAAATAGTCAATTTTTACTTTTTTTAATTTTATTTTATATTTTCACATTGCAGTATGAATGTTCACATTGGTATAAATTTATTTTTTTAAGGGTAGGCATGTTAATTGTAAACTATGAACATTCACATTGTATTTTTGTATGAATTTTATTTCTTGGAAAGTTAGTTGTATGTTTATTATTTATTGTGAATATTCACATTTTACTTTAGTATGTATTTTATTTTTTCGAAGGTTAGCTGTACATTTCTGTTTACTGTGAACATTCACATTGTATTTTAGTTTTCGTTTAGATTTTTTTGTTGCGTTATTTTTAAATTTTCATAATTTAAAATATTAGTTTTAAATAGTGTGAAATTAGAATATTTATTAGTTTCCATAATTTTAAAAGAGTGAGCTTTTAAAGATGATATTTGTTAACTTCCATGATTTTCTCCTAATATAAATATTTTAATTTAAATCGGGTAAGTATTCAAACTATAATGATTTTCTCATAAAACATAGATTTAGTTTCTATATTTTGTGCAAAATCTAATGTTGGAATTTTTGGTCTTTTAAATAGCTGCAGGATTAAATAGCCATTAAAAATTGGTATATAGGTATTAGAAACATGATTTTTGAAAAAATCTCCCTTAAATGTTATTATAATTTTTTTTCTAAAAATGTACTACCATAATTACATTGTCATCAATATTGTTTCTATTAAATTATGTTGCCATAATTGCAGTGTATTTAAGAAATTTTTTTTGGTATTATCTGCAAATCATTCTAAATTTTGAAAAGGGAACCCTATACCTACAAAAGTCAATTTGAAAATAAAATTAATTTTAAATTAATACATTAATATGTCAGTGGACTGAATTATTACAATTTTTCTTTAATTATATTTCTCCAAACACTAATATGGAAAATTTTTGAACTTAGATTTTAAATTCTTACATGGAAAGTACATATGTAATAAAAATTATTAATAATTTCTTATTTATTTATTACAAATACACTTATCGGATTTGTTTCCTTTAATTTTTAAAATGTTATCATAATTGCAGTGTAATATTATTGACATTTTTTTTTTGGTATTATTTGCAAATCATTCTAAACTTTGAAAAGGAAACCCCACACCTACAAAAGTCAATTTGAAAACAAAATTAATTTTAATTTAATACATGAATATGTATTATAATCACTTTACAAATTTTCTTTAATTACATTTCTCCGAACACTAATATAGAAAAAAATTCAAACTTAATTTTTGAATTCTTACATAGAAAGTACATATGTAACAAAAATTATTAATTGTTTATTATTTATTTTATTACAAATACACTTACCAAATTTATTTAGTTTAATTTTTAAATTTTATTTTTCATTTTTTTTCTTTAATAACTTTCTTCTTCATATTTTAGTTAAATACACCTAAAAAGTATGATATTTATAAATATAACAAAAAAATCACTAAAGACAAAAGATAAAAAAAAAATGTGTCATTTTTTTTTAAAAAAAATTTCACTTTTGCTGATATTTTTTAATATCTTTTCAAATTTTATTTTTTATGGCATCTAGATTTGATGAATCCAAAAATTTTTAAAAATAAATTATTGAAACCTGAAAATAAAATAACTAAAGATAAAAAAAAAATACGAAAAACCAAAAATTTAAAATTATATTTGAGTTTGAAAACCAGACATCTTGCCACTTTTTTCTATAGTTAGATTAAATTATACTTAATTTAAATTCCATAAATCAGATCTTTATTAAAAAAAAAAATCACTTACATGAATTTAGCAAGTACATGTGTAATGAGATTATTGATTATCTCAATATTAATTTTTTTTAAGTGCAAATGTTACGAAATTATTATTTTTGTTCTTTTTAGTTTTATTTAATCAATTTTTTTAATTTAAATTTTCTGCTTTTCAACCAAACAATATTTTTGAAATAATTTATTTTTAACATTCTGCCTATTTACATTTTGAAATAATAACATTATTGAACTTTTTATTTTTATTTTTATTTTTTTGATAAAAATTGCTTTATAGAGTTCAAGTAAATACGGTGAATTATTTTTGTTTTATAATATTTTGTATTTAAAAAAATACAAAATGTTCATTCTGTGCTACTAGTATTTATATGAATATGAGACTCGCATCATATGGAATCTACAAAAATTTCATACTGACTTAAATATTTAATAAAATATTTGACAATTTATTTATAATCCCTAATATTTTTATTTAAAAAGATTAATAATATTAAAGAGCTAGGAAAGTTACTTTAGGCAGCCCTTACCTAGATTGTTGATGAAGAAATTCTAGGTTTTAACTTGCCATCATAATGTTAGGGGTGTTTGTACCTTATCACGTGACAATTTTTCTAATTATTGGTGTCACGTGGCGGTGGGAGATAAAAAGTTAAAGATTTGGTGAGACCTACCACCAAGGTCGAGGAAATGGGGCACTACAAGAAATTGCATTTTTAGCAACAACTTTCAGTGATGAAGTATATTTTTCTTAGCCAAAAGTGCACTTTCTACGACACAATAATCATTTTCATTGGTAAAGGTAGACTTTTTGCAACGTAATTCTCAATCCGTCGTGGATTGAAAATATTAATGAGGCACCAAGGGACAATGTTCCCTCCAAAAATGAAAAAGCTTTAGCGATGACCATATTTTTTTGGCGATGAAATATGTGTTGCTGTTAGTCACTTTGTTTTGGCAACGAAATCTTTTAGTTGGTAAAGATTTTTATTTTTAGCGACAAACATATTTTCATCGCCAAAAGTTTGCAACTTATTTCATTATACAGTTTTTATAAGAAAACATATGATACTTGTTTTTAATAAAAAAAATGAACCAAAATCTCTCACGCTTGTATCCCTCTCTCTCTCTCTCTCTCTCTAAGCAAACAACCCATCTTCTCCACAGTTGTATTGCTTTGCTCTTTCCTTTTTACAACAAACTCGAATATGGGTGTAAAACTCTAGTTGCCTTTCTCTCTCTCTCTCTCTCTCTCTCTCTCTCTCTCTCTCACACACACACACAAAATCGCACACCCACCTGATTGCCTCTCTATCTCTCTTTCTTTTTCTCACCCAATAGCCCAAGTGCACCGTTGCAAATCGCAGTTTCTGTTGTGGATTGATTGTCATTACCGCCTTTCACTGATTGGCTTCTTCTGCTGTAAGTTCTCGATCTCATTCTCGCTCTGTTTCTGGTCTTTCTCTCTCTCAATTTCTAAACCCTATTATTGTTTTTTTCGTAATTAGTTTAGGAGGTATCATGAAGTATCTAAAAGTCAGGACCTTGTTCAGAAGGCAACGACGCTGATCTAGGTTAAATTAGATGTATGACCTATTCAGTGAACACGGTATTCATCTCCGAGTTGACTTGATGGGGTGAGTGACTCACTATAGAATACATAACCTCTATACCCTTTGAAGTTTTAGGTAAAAAGCTTGAGTCTCTGTACATTGGATCAGAATTGGGATTTATCTCGATTTAATTTGATCAATTCAGATTTCAGATTTCAGATTTATAATATTTTTAAAAATAATAAATTCAGTCAAAGTTAATTTAGAGTGTGATGTATGAAATTAAGTTCTAGACCCTATAAGCCCTTCACTATTTTAATATGTTGGCTGGCAATTACTAAAAATAAATTCTGAACTTCGTTTTTATTTTGAGAAGAAACACAATCTGATTTTTATTTTTCTTTTAAATTAGGTTTCTTTTGGTTGTGTTTATATACATATGCATATATATATATATATATATATATTAAAATCTATGATACACAACCCTAAAATAGGAAAAATCCTAAGAAATTGATAAATATTTTTGATGAAAGTTAAGAATGGTTGTGGCGTGTTATGTCAATTTGTAATAGAAGTTACGGATAATGAATTTATGGTGTGTAGTAAAGTTAAAGTTATACTTTTTATGGTGCTGAAAATAATGATTTTTGTGATTTATTTTACAAAAGGTTATGGTGGTGTTATGGAGGGCACACCATATGCACTTTTTTAGGAATGCAAATAGTAGCATCTCTAAATGTATCTATATATGTATATCCAAGAATTGATTCTTTCTTCTTCTTCTTCTTCTTTTTATAATTTTTTGGTGGTATTTTCCAGCTTACATAATTGGTTACTAGTTTTGACATATCAATTGTCATATGAAAAACCACTTTGTCTGTCATCTTAAGGAGATTGTTAACCTATCTATGTTGCTATAGAATTCTTGGATGTCATATGTTTTTAGGAGCCTTATTTACTAGGATTTGCTTTTCTTTCTTTTTAACTCTGTGTTGGTGGAACATTCACAATTTGTTTGGGCATGTTTTCTACACTTTTTTTTTATCCCATCCTTCCCACTGATGGACATAGTGGTGTTATCTACATTAATAAATATTTCTTTGATGATAAAAAAAATTTTAAAAGAAAAAAAACCACTTTGACATTGTTACTTCACTAGTTTTCATTTGTGGCCTTGCTATGAGCTTGTAAGAGTATACACGAGTGACATAAAGATTTTTTGTAGGAGCTATTTCATTTAATTTATGTTCTTGAATGGTAATCCTTGATTATCATAACTTAGTTTTTTGGTTGCATTAACATTACATCTTGTCTTGTTGGGGCTTTCATTTATACCTAGTTATTTTGGACAGACTGGTTTTATGAATGATTTGATTCATGAAGATTGGGAATGGTATCACTACCTACCTTTGGCATGATAACTGGCATCCTTTAGGTCCCCTCATTCTCAAGTATGGGGATAGGATTGTGTTTGACTCTGGTTTAGAATCACAGGTTGCTGTTTCTAGTATCATTAGGGATCAGAATTGGCAGTGGCCTAGTGCTCACACTTCTGAGCTTATTGAGATTATGAATTCTGTTCTTGGTGACATGGTTCCCTCTGACTGTAAGGGTCAATCTGTTTGGACCCCGTCACCTAATGGTATTTTCTCTATTCAGTCTGCTTGGGATTTGCTTAGAATTCATAGACCTGGAGAAACCTGGCATAAGCTCATTTAGTTTTAGTTTCATATTCCTAGAGTGAGTACTGTGGTTTGGTTGGCTATTCTGGGTAGGTTGAATACCTTTGATAGGTTGGCTGTTTATGGGATTAGAAGTTCTACTCAATGTGTTTTGTGTAATCTTCAAGATGAGGATCATGATCACCTCTTTTTTACTTGCAACTATTCATTGAGCGTGTTGGACCCTCTGTTAGATAAGTGTAACATGTCTTGGCCTATCTTGAACTAGAGTAATCTGGTGGACTGACTGTCTAAACAATTTTTTGGTCATTCTTTGGCTACCATTGTTAAGAGATTGTTGTTTACCTTTATTGTTTACTGTATTTGGCAAGAGAGAAATGCTTGGATTTCTTATCTGGCTGCTGCTGTTATGGTGAAAAAAGTTGAATCTCTCATGAGATTTAGGTTGTTGTCTATGAACAAGTTTAAGAAGCATGGTGCTAATAATTGGTTTTTGGATTCATGGCAACTCCCTCCTTCTATATTAAGGCTTCATGCTCCTTGATTTGTTTGTCATTCCTCTCAGATTTCTAATACTTCCTACTATTTTTAGCCTCCCTCTTGCAGGTCTCCTAGATTATTTTTTGAGCAACACCATATTTCCTCTCTGTTTTACTTTGCAGGTTGAGCTAGTACTAACTTAGCGATGTTGTGGGTTGAGTGTTGTGAGCTAAAACAGTTAGGGTAGTGTGAGAGTGTCTTTGAGAGTGGAGTGTGGTGAGCATTGAGGGTTGAGTGCATGGTGAGCTTATATGTGAGGGTTAAGTGATGTGAGCTTATAAATCTTTTACATATCTGTGTGCTAATTTTTGTGCAGGTTGTCAAGCTAGTTTAGTAGTAGGGAGGAGGGTTGAGCTTGGTGAGGATCTATACATATAAGTGATATAAGCCAGATTTTTCTAACTGTTTTTTATGCAGATTGTCAAGCCGGCACTTATGTGAGGGAAATCTTTGTTGAGGGTTGAGTGAATTTAGTCCATATACTGCTTGTAGTGTTGAGAGTGTTTTGAAAGTTGATATTTTTTTGAATTGTTTGTTTGTTGTTCTTTACCTGTCTGTCTCATATTTGCTATTGTTTTGTTCCTGTTGCTGTCTCTGATTGACTGAGAAGTTTGTTCATGTTGCACCTGTTTTGTTCACCCCCCTCATAGTCTTGGTATGTGGTGTTTCAAATGACCTTTCCTATGCAATGTGTTCATATTTCTAGGTGAGAAGTGACTGGTTCATTTAGCCTATTTGATGTGTTGTTTGCTGTCCTATTTGCTATGTTGTTTGCTGCCCCCCCTCACCCCTCCCATATTTCTGTCTTGTTTGTTGTGCTGCCTCTGCTTTGCTGTGCTGGTCTTGCCTGCTGCTATATTAGTGCTGCTATGCTGGCTTGCTGCAGAGCTACTGGCTGCTAAGTGTCATTGTGTTTGGCATGCTGTGCTATTGAAATCTCTTTTGTCATATTGGTAGCTTAGGATGTTGTTGGTTCATGGTTTTGGTTTTTTTGATGTTTTCCTGTTTTTATTGTTTTGTAGTTTAGTGTGTTAGTCGAGATGGTCATTTTGTTCTAGTTTTGTTGAGGTATGGCTGCTTTTGTTGTTTTTAGTTTGTTGGGTCTTCCTGAGGAAAGCCTCTTTTATATCTGTACATTCTTTTGTCATATTTTTTAACTTACCAAAAAAAACAAAAAAAAAAGTTTTATGTTATATCAATTCGAGTAGTTTGATGGAACACTGGGCTTTTTACTAGAGTTTATCTTTTATGAACTAATTATTTCTTTTTTGGTAATGAGGTTATTTAGGGTATCTCCCTGTCCTAACACTCTTAACACATTACACCAGACCTTAGCAGCACGTGATCTACAGATTGACCAGAGCAGTTTATAGAAGCAACAATTATTAGCAATTCCAGGTGACACTATCTTCCTCCTTACTAATAGATCGCAAGTAGTGATTACATTTTTTTTTTTTTTTTTTTGCATTGTGAACCAACAAAAAACTTGGAACTCATAACCAAATGATATAATCTACACATGGAGGCTACAAAAAATAAATCATCATTAGCATAACTCCATGACATTCTACCATGAGTTTGATTGTTGCCCTTAAAGGCATCCAATGATTTTATAATTTCTCCTCTTCTTTTTCCAAGGGATAAAGTTCTCTATTATTACTTAACTTCTATCCAATGCTCTCTCTCCTTTAATGGCCACAATATTAGATATAACCTCTCTTTTTTTTCTTTTTCTTTTTCTTTTTTTCTTTTTTTCTCTTTTGTAATGACTAGGCTAAGCTACTCTTAATGACAAATTGCCTACCCATTTCCAAATTTGTCCCAACACCAACTATTAATTTAAACCTCTGTTTAATCAAATTACTAAATATTGTCTCACCCCCTACCAATGATATAATGCCATACCAATCCTTAATACCTTCTTTGAATTAAATGTCTTAGGCCGCCATGAATTTTGCTCCACATTGTATTTTTCACACAAAACTTTTCTTTATAGCGCAGGCATAATTTATAATTTTTAAGTGATCCAATACCCATCTCACCTTGTCCCATTTTGTAATGCCCTAAACCTTCACATGTCATTGATATTGTCCTCTTTGGGCCATGCCCGTACGGATTTGTTTATTCTAGTGGGCCATCCATTCCAGAACTACTCCAGCCTAAGCACGCTTAACTAGGGAGTTCTGATAGGGATTTCACCACCCTACAAAAGGTCTTGATGCTATATAAGGGTCTAGATTTTTACTTTTATAGCTAGGAACTCCCCTTCCATTCCCGATGTGGGACACCAGGACCTCACAATCCACATCACTTAAGGTTGTCTATCCCCGTGCAGTAGCCTTCCAGCTCACAAGCCCACCCACGTGCACTGAGAGACGTCAGGGGCCCACACTCGATACTCCAAAAAGTCAGCTCTAATACCATTTTGTACCATCCCAACCCTTTACATGTCATCGATATTATCCGCTTTGGGCCATGCCTGCACGAACCCATTCCAAAACTACTCCAGCCTAAGCACGGTTAACTACAGAGCTCTGCTAGGGATTTCACCACCCAGGAAAAGGCCTCGATGCTATATAAGGGTCCAGGTTTTTACTTTTTATAGCCTAAGAACTCCCCCTCAATTCCTAATGTGGGACATCAGGACCCTACAATAAACCTGGACCCTTATATAACATTGAGGCCTTTCTCGAGTAGTGAAATCTCTAGTAGAACTCTCTAGTTAAGTGTGCTTAAGCTGGAGTATTTTTGGGATGGGTGACCCATTAGGAAGAACAAATCCATGCGAGCGTGGCTCAAAGCGGACAATATTGATGACATGTGAAGGGTTGGGGTGTTATAAATGGTATCAAAGCCAACTCTCTAGAGTACTGAGTTTGGGCCCCTGGCGTCTCTCAATGCATGTGGAAAAGCTTGTGAGCTGACAGGCTACTACACGGGGACGTACAACCCTAAGGGGGGTGGATTGTAGGGTCTCGGTGTCCCACATCGGGAATGGAGATGGAGCTATTGGGCTATAAAAAATAAAAACATGGACCCTTATATAGCATCGAGGCCTTTTCTCGGGTGGTGAAATCCCTAGTAGAACTCCCCAGTTAAGCGTGCTTAGGCTGGAGTAGTTTTGGGATGGGTGACCCACTGGGAAGAACAAATCTGTGCGGGCATGGCTCAAAGGGGAATATATCAATGACATGTGAAGGGTTAGGGCGTTACAAAGGTATTTCTCACATAAAAGATAGGCAAGTGTTGTATTCCCTCGGCGCATACCAACATTGCGCTAACTACATGCTAGGAAAGTGCCAAGTATAGGAAAAGTTCCTCTCCCGGTACTAGGGTTGCCAATAGTGACAGAGAGGCCATGTATTCTTGCAAGCTCTCCAGAGCTCAGTTGCATTCATTATCCCACTCAAACTTGGCCTTAAGTGCCTGGAAGAACGGTCGACACCTGTCTAACGATCGGCTTATGAATCGGTTTACTGCGGCAGCTAGGCGCGTAAGGTGCTGTAGTTCCCTGACTGTGTTGGGCCTCTTTAGTTCTTAAATAGACTTGATCTAAGAGGGATCAACTATACCGCGGTTGGTTACTAGAAAGCCGAGAAATTTTCCAAACCCCACGCCAAATGCGCATTTGGATGCATTCATTCATCGCTTGTGAGTCTTCAAAATTTGAAATATCTCAGCTAGGTCATTGAGATGGTCTCCTTCATTCTTACTCTTGACTACCATGTCATCTATGTAAACTTCCATTGTTCTGCCTAACAATGGTTTAAACATTTTGGTGACCATTTGTTGAAATGTTGCCCTACAATCTTTAGGCCAAAGGGCATGACTTTGAAGCAATACAACCCCCTAGGCATTGTGAAGTATGTAACTTCTTGGTCTGGTTCATACATAGCAATCTAATGGTATCCATGATACACATCAAGAAAGCTAAGTCGGTTGTAACATGCAATTAGGTCCACCAGTTGGTCTATCCATTGTAAAGGAAAACTATCTTTTGGACATGTTTTGTTGACTGTCTTATAGTCCACACAAACACGTCATTCACCATTTTTTCTTCGGCACCATCACTGTGTTAGAGATCCACTTGGGGTAGTGAACCTCTCTGATTGCCTCTGCTTCTAGCAGGTTTCCCACTTCCTCAACCACTATCTCATTGTGGTGAAGTGCTGATCAACGAGTTCGCTGCATAATTGGTCTGGCAGTCGGGCTAACATTAAGTTGATAGTAGATAAAGTTTGGATCAATGCCAGGCATGTCGTACGACGTCCAAGCAAACACTTCGATGTTAGAGATAAAGAATTCCATGATATCTATTCTCTCAGTGCTAAAGATGAGCCAAGCAAAAAGAACTTCTCTAGGATGTTTTGGTCTATTTTTACCTCCACTAGATCTTCCACTACCTTCCGTTCGGTTGCCTTACTGACATTTGTGAATAACTCGTTCCTTTCTGGCTCATCTACCATCTACACGAACCCTTTGGTAGCTCGATTGTTATTCACGGTCACGAAGCATTGCCTGGACATGATTTGGTCTCCCAAGACTTCTTCAATCGCTCTATCTTCATTAGGGAATCTCATCACCTAATGGTAGGTTGATGCTACCTCTCGGATGGCGTGCAACCATGCTCTCCCTAAAATAATGCTGTAAGTGGAAGGGACTTTCAGCATCCAAAATTTCACTAGCTTCATTAGGGAATCGTATCACCTAATGGTAGGTTAATGCTACCTCTCGGATGGCGTGTGTAGACGCGCCCGCGTAGGGCCCTCGCTACAGTTCGGACTCGATTTGTGTCACGGTTCTTAATCTGAACCAAAGAGTCCAAATCCGGCAAATCGTTTTGAGAAACAGATTTTTGAAAAGAAGTGCCAAACATGGACTGCTTTGCCAGATACAGAGTCGCCACCTAAATATTTTTTATGGGGGAATTTAGGAAACCCTGACTCGGTGCCGAAGGCCACATGTCCGTCATCACCAGAGTTGCCTCGGCTCGGGAGCTAGGGTACGACTGGGGAAGGTCAGCTAAGAGCACCCCCTCTTGCCCGATCCGAAGATCGGCCTCTACTAACCATGATATCCGTTTTTGAAAACGTTATGTGTTCTTATTCCATTTATTAGCCTAGAATTACTATGTTATGCGCACAGCAAACAAGTATAGACCAAATCGCCTAGATTGGAACAAAACATTGCATATCCGTTTTGAAGATGGTTTGCTACTCGCAAGTAGGCTAAAATGCAGGTTTTGCCACCCTCGAGTGGGCTTTTAGAAAAGATGGTTTTGCCACTATCTAGTGGGCTTAAAAAATTCACAGTTTTAATGAATTATTCTAATTTAGGTAATTCAACCTCCATCCACAGGCATTTGAGCAGTTATATCACATAAGCAGCTAGCCTCATGGTAATCATGCAATTATGGCAACACTCACACGCATGCGGTATGCTAAAGCAAAAGGACTTACAGAGTACTCCAAGCCAAAACAGAAACTATAAACATGGCATGTGAAATGCAATCAATTGATGCACGTATCCAATTTGGAATTGAAGTACAAATGCAGTTAGCATGATGTACCGAGCCTGGTGCATGCGAGACAAATGTATGGATGCACGCATGCATAGCATAAGGTATGCTAATTTAAACATGACCTATTACTAACCATCAAAGCAGGTAAGTAAAAGGGAGAAAGAAGTGGGGGTTGGAAGGCATGCACACACTCACCCACACTTATTACAGATTCGCCCTCCCTCGGAGTGACCAAAAGAATAATACAATTCGAATAATGAATTAACTATCCTAGCTAATTAATTATTACAAATTACCTAATTAGTTAACAAATTAACTAAGCATAAGAAAACCAATAAAAGGGGCCTCGGGAAGAGGGTTCGATGCGCGCGTGCTCGGGTCTTGCTCGGAAGTGCACTGCCATGCATAGGATGCCTCTGTTTTCCCTGCTCTGCCTCTTTGAAGACTGCCAAAGTCTCAGAATTGCTTCTCTGGATACCGGGGAATGCCACCGGCTGGAAGGAATCATCACCGGCTGTGATCTGGTGGTCATCGGCCAAGAATGCATCCATCGGCCATCGATGGGTTGTCGGTCGGCACTTTATGCAGTCGATCGGCAGAAAGTGCCTGCAGAACCTGTTTGACAGCAGCAGAGGACAGGACTTTGCATGGCAATGCAGTTCAAGCAATGTATGCACCTACCAAGCCCCTTTTCATGTGTATGACTCAAAGGGACATGGTCCTTGGTTCTCGGATCACCAATCGCGCATTTCAATGCGTGATGGCCCAAGAGACCAAGCGTGCACGTTTTGATGTCAAATGCAACGCAAACCAACAAACCAAAGCCCAATTCCTATCACAAGATCAAGGAACAAGACATGCATACTAGATGCAATGC